GAATCATTTTTTAGTTATTATTGTGGGATATAAAATGGGCTTAATATGCTTAGGATTACGTTATATGATTGTTGACTTAAATCTTAGATTTAAGGAGAGATCATCATCCTCTCAAATATAGGTGTTTATCGTTTATGTATTAGGGATTATATCATTTTGATTTGGTACCGACGGATTAAAATCTATTATTTTTGCTCTAATTTCAGCATAAACTAATCTCATTTCTATTAAATTAGTATCAAAGCCATTAAAGGCTGCTATTCTACCAGAAATCTTTGTCGTTCGCATTCGATGTCGTTACTCCGCCTCGTATCATTTTAAAATTGAAGTTGTGTCTCTTTCATGATCGAACCTCTTGATAAAGTTGCGATTGGATCTACCTACGAAGCCAACAACTGATCGCAAGTTGCATTCATGACGGAACCTCGCAATACAGTCGCAATTCTAGCTAGCTAGGAAGCCAACAACAAGATCACAATTCGACTTCGTGACCACCTTGCAGTACAGTCGCAATTTGAGCTAGCTAGAAAGCCTCGCGGCGTCGCCTTAGTGACTGAACCTCACAATATAGTCAATTCAAGCTAGCAAGGAAACCAAAGACGGGATCGAGTGTATAGAAGTTCCGCCTTCGTGATAATAAACCATTATGGGAGTAATGAGACCAAGAAAATAGATGCTCTGGAAAAGTAATTAGGGAAGATATGAGCTAAATCAAATATGAAATGGATGAGTGTTTCTCGTTCATGGAGGGATGATTCTCGTCCATGGAGGAGAGATTAACGACCCTGAAAGATATGACAAAGAAGATCGTAGAGATTTATACAAACCAATAGCCGCCCGTTTCAGGAATGAGTGATGGCATCTAGAGCGAACGTAATAGGCAACAATTAGAAGGATTTGCGCAACATCAGGGCAGCTTTGTTGCCAGTAGGCATATCTTGAGCTGCTGGATTGAGTGACTGAATCAGAAGCGGGCCCGATCGGCAACAATCGAAAGGAATAATACGGCATCCAAACAGCTAGAATGAGGGACATTAAGTAGAACGGAACGACATGCAACTCGAGGCTAGAGATAATAGATTCGAAAGATTTCGGCCTGAAACAAGGAACCATGGTGGATGATAACCCGACCGAGGTCTGCATCCAACTACGCCAAAACCTTATGCTATGGCAACCTTTCGGGCAGAAGGGGATTCATAAGCCTATGAGAATGAGCAAGGTGATTATAGGGCGAGATAAGCTCATGTAAGAAGGAAAATCAATATGGGTGGAGAAAGGAAACTAAACTACTGCTTCATGGGCGGACCGAACTTCTGTCAAAGAAATTGGCGAGGAGACTCACGCATAAAGAAACTGAAGATGTCGATCTTTGAAAAAAAAAGATGCTTATAGTTGTGTTTATCGCGTGGAAAGATACATTATTGTTAATGAGCTGATAAAGAAAGAAAAATTGATGACGAAGGCCCTAAGTTTAGAAGGGTAAACTCTAACGTGGTATCAATGAAGAAAACAATATCAACTAATCAAAAAGTGGGAATAATCAACACCGATTGTTTAAGCATTTCATAACCACCTAGAAAGGGGTTTTACACCAATAGTTTTTTGCATTGGTACAAGAAGGGTCCGTTATGGATTATAGAGAGAAATTTGAGATATTTTTTGATCGTTTGAGAGGTATATCATAAGTACTGTTGGAAAGAAACTTCATGAAGCTAGAGATTCAAATAGCTCTTCATCTGTTGAGATCACGAGGATTTAGGAGAAACTATGGAATTAGCTTAATTGGTTGAAAATAAAAATGCAATGTAATGAACTAATAGACACAACACAAGCGAATCGGCCCACCGAAATGTTACAATTGCAATGATACCAAAAACTCAAACAGTAGAATTCTAAAGAGAGACATTCAGGAAATCGTGGAGGAGAAACACCCTCACATAGATATAGTAGAAGTCTTATTGAACTCTATGGTAGGGGATCGAACCACATAATAGAACTTAGGTGATAGATCGGAGAGCATGACATAGTGGTGTGGTAAATAGTGGGGCCACTCACAACTTCATATCACCTCAAGTAGCTAAACAATTGAGGGTTGAAGCTAGAGATTCAAATAGCTCTTCATCTGTTGAGATCACGAGGATTTAGGAGAAACTATGGAATTAGCTTAATTGGTTGAAAATAAAAATGCAATGTAATGAACTAATAGACACAACACAAGCGAATCGGCCCACCGAAATGTTACAATTGCAATGATACCAAAAACTCAAACAGTAGAATTCTAAAGAGAGACATTCAGGAAATCGTGGAGGAGAAACACCCTCACATAGATATAGTAGAAGTCTTATTGAACTCTATGGTAGGGGATCGAACCACATAATAGAACTTAGGTGATAGATCGGAGAGCATGACATAGTGGTGTGGTAAATAGTGGGGCCACTCACAACTTCATATCACCTCAAGTAGCTAAACAATTGGAGCTTGAGATGGTTGACATGAAAATTTTTGAAGTATAAGGACGAGACAAGTGGAAAAGAACAGGGAAACTTGTAAAGGGGTAATTTTAACAATGCAAAGTATTCTGGTGATGCAAGATTTTCTTCCCTTGAATTTAAGGAGCACTAACGCATACTGGGCATGAAATGTCTGCAGTATTTAGAGGATACTGAGATGAATTGAGAACTCCTAGCAATGGAGTTCTGAAAGGGAGACCAAATGGTGGTGTTTTGCGATAATCCAAATTTGTGCAAGACCTTGATAACACTCAAGACCGTGATAACACTCAAGACCGTGATTAAGGCAATACAAGACATGGGGTTGGGATTCTTGACCTGGTTGCATAGCATGGAAGAGACACAACATGGAATTGGCAAAGATTACAACACTGATTCAACTGATCCTACAATAATTTATAGAATTTTTTCAATTGCCACATTGATTGCTGCCTCAGAGGGAACCTGCGCATACAATAACCTTAAAATTGGGGGGTTTTCCCATAAGTGTATGCCCATACCGCTAGCCCAAGGGTTTCAATTCAACTCTAATAGAGTTGGTTGAATCATTTGGAAAAAGAGGAGGCGATCAAATTAAGGAGATGGAGCTTAAGGTTCACATAGACTAAAAAGACTCGTGGACAATACTTCACAATGATCAAAAAACTATCATTGTTGTTCTTAAAAGAAATGATAGAAGTGTCTTAGATGATAACTTTGGGGAATATAATATGTGGCTAGCAGCAGAAAATGGGATGTATTTGCATCTCACAAATGGAGAGTGAATGAATGCAATGGCAAAATATCTTAACATAGATTGGGATAACAGTGTGAAGCATATTTTCGAGTACTTTATAGAAAGAAATCCTAGGTCTTACTTCGTGAATCAAGAGACCTCACTTTTATGGAACTACAAGTATGTAGATGTTGAATTTGGAAGAATTCAAGAGACATGCTACAACATCTATGGACAAGTCTAATATCTAATGCAATTTTTAATGTTTAATATCTAATGCAGTTTTTAATGTCGCCAACGGAAGTTGTGAATTTTGAATAATACTTTTT